ACTACACAACACAGAATTATTCTGAAATAACGTGCCAGTTAGAAACTGACACGTTTAAACGAGATTTGGCGATGTTCTTGATTTATCGGCCTGTAAAATCATTTGTTACTCCAGTCATACATTTCTGCTATTACGTTAGGTTAAAAGCTTACGAATTCGACGTTTCATATTCCGGATGTCCTGACTTCGTACCTTAGCTAGGAGACCGGATATACTGAGACGTATCACCTTCTGGCCTTGTAATCCTGGGGTCTCGTGTTCGATTCCCGGCGGTGCCCGAATTTATATCTTGTGTTGGGCAAGGCCGTGGTCTAGGCAACACGGAGTTTTCCTCCGTGGCATCCCAACAATTACTCCATTCACACACAGAAGAAGGCAATGGCAAACCACTTCTGGATGATCTGCCAAGAACGTATATGAACAGGTCCCAGTCCGAGAAAAGGATCGAAGGATCCTGTTCATATGGACCTTTCCTCAGACAGAACACTAAATAAATAAATAAATAAACTCTATACATAGTTTAGATAAAAATGTTATGTTAATTTTACAGCGTAAAGCTTCAAACTTCGTAATTTAGAGCTCCTTATTTGTGTAAATTGTCACTGAATGACAAGATTACTGCATTTATACTCAGTGTCCACAAAATAATTGAGACAGAATCTGCAAATAATCAGCGAACGACGCCTTCCGGCGCCTTACTGATTCACAATTAATAATTTTCATAACGTTAAATCACCGTCTCCAAAAGCCCCACAGCAAAATTTCAGTGTTACAAAAAAGACTTAATTCCATGGCAATCAAGATTTTAACCTTCGTATTTAAGTTGAAGAAGTGTTATGACACAATTAACAAACACCTGAGGATAAGAGCGGGCTATATAAACAATATCAAAGTTGTCCAAACATCTGTTAACTTCATCTTATGCAGAAATAACCTTTTAAAGCCCAGTGTAATTTTTGAGTATGGGTTCCGTATGATTCATATACAAAACAAGGGCTGAACATCACACCCAAAACTAAAATTAAATACTTTCAGTTCTCTGAGAAACTAGATACGAGCCTAGGAAAACTCTTCCCTTCGGTAACCGGCGGACATGCACCAGATGGTAAATTTTCCAACAGCAGAAACATCTGGCAAACAGAGTTCTTTTTATGATATAGGTAATCAGGCGTCCAGTCCACAGATTTAAACACT